ACATATAAACACCTAAAAATAAGCACAAAAACATAACAAACAATATCACATGTTTAAAATATACAAATTATCACATTTGAATAATATGTATTAAACTCTAAAAAAATATTAGTAATTATATTCGTGAATAATATGTATTACCGTCTACAAAATATGCATGAATAAATATGTATTACAACATAAAAAACATTAATATTACATCAAGCTAATTTATGAGAGAGATTTATATTAGTAGATATAAAAAAAAAAAATAGTAACTAGATATCACTTTTTCAAGTCGAACAATTTTTAATTGGACAACTGCTGTATTATATGTATCAAAACTTTTTATGTAGTATATATATATATATATATATATATATATATATATATTAATTTTGCATAGCAAATTTAATCTTGTCTACACACAAAACATAAAATTGATTTACTATACAAAATTATACATTTTTTTAAAAACATTTGTAAAAAATAATACCATAAAAAGAGATTTGTGTATATCTCACATAAAAAAAAAAGAATTTGTGCATATCTCCTAAAAAATCGTTCATTTTCAAAATCTGCTACAATGAAAAAACATATTTAAATATTACGATAAATTTATATTTTGGGTATATAAATGTCAATCCAAATTGTTGACTATAATAAATATGATAAAATCAAAAAGAATCCTCACAAATGAGAATTGACGACATGTAAATTTAAATTGAATACAACATATATGTGCTAACACAAATCAATAATTCTAATAAATACGTTAAAAAGAAAAAAGAAAAAAAAAGGATCATCCATAGAGGAGAATTCTAGAAATCTTTTTGCATATATGATATGCATATGAAAAATAAGATTGATTATTTGTCTTCTACTCGAAGAAATTTACATTTGTTAATGTTAATTAATAATATTTCGTTTGGTCTTTTGAATGTAGTTTTCTTGCCTTGTTGCTTAAGCCACGAGTGGTTGTTATATTGATTTACTATTTTGTTTGTGTTTCAATGTAAATTACTAAATATACCATGTGATTATGGTTAATTTCCATTTATAGATTAGTAAATATATAAGTGTGTGTATAATAGGAAAAAGAAAATTAATATTTGCTTAAAATAAACCAAAATTAAAAAGGTCAATTATATGGAAAATATGCAATTACTAACAATTGGTTTTTATTTAAATCATATTATATTATTTCAATCTGTAGTATGTAATTAATGCTTATCTATTAATATATAATAATGATTAACATAATTAATTTTTAGAAACTATTTCCCGCCAAAAACATTAATTATTTCCTATAAATAGTAATTTAACAAAACAAGCATTAATTGCACTTAATTTCCTTTTTTATATTAATTTAAAGGTACAAAAATTTGTATATATCTGTACAAATATCCGTACAAACAAGCATTAATTGACTTACCAAACGTCCTTTTTTATATTAATTTAAAGGTACAAATATCCGTATATATCTATACCCTCAATGTTATTTTAATAAA